AAGTCGGGGGGCAGTAGGGAGCACATGCCCCCCAGACTTCTGTGCCCACAGTGGTGTGTGGGGCTGTAGCTGGCCTGGACCAGCTCCAGGCACGAGCTACCTCTGCAGCCCAGCAGGCAGGACCTGGCATGAGAGGGAGCACTACGTTGCCATGACCACCAAGGTGTGGTATGGTGTCAGCGCAGAATTGTCGTGTCCCCCCTCACCCCCCCGCTGCTGCTGGGCAGATAGGGGGAGCCTCAACTTGATGGCCATGGTGCTGTCTTCTGTGCCAGGCCCCACCTGCTGGGCTGAGGAGGTGGCTCCTGCCTGGAGCTGGTCTGGCCCGGCTGCAGTCTGCACCTTGCTGCGGGTGCAGAAATCTAGGGGGTCATGCCCCCTGATGTGTAGCGTGTGCCTGCCTCCCCTCCCCCATAGACTTACCTGAAGGGAGCTGTGGGAGCTGCTCACCTGGCTGCCACATGCATATGTACAGGTGCACATGGTGTCCCCTGTGTCCCGCTCCCCCCAGCCTCAAGCAGCCCCTTACAGGCTGGAACTCTGCCAGCCTGCAAGGGGAAACCCAGTTTCCCAGGTTTGTCTCCTTTAAAGGAGAAAATCTGTGTTTTATCCACAACAAACAGAAAACCTGGATCCCTGGTCTTTATCCATTTGTGTCATGCTGAGAGTGATCTCTCTCTCATCTTCCTTTTTAATCCTTCTGCTTTGTATCCAGCTTTGAGTTCTCCATCTTCCAGTTTTTGACTACCTTGTGGGTATTTCAAAACTTAAGTGTTTTTGATTTAAAAAAAAAAAAAAAATTGTTTTAATCCATGTTATCTGATCTGTGTAATACTTATTTTTTAGATTTCCTTTCAAAGCCAGACTTTGCACTGTAATGTATGTTCTTGCATCTCCTACTTTCAAGTGTTGCCTCTTGACCCGGCCCACTGACAAAATTAGCTGTTTTCTTAGGACTGCTGCTAACAAAATCCTAATTTTTTGCCTTAATCACTAGCCATTTAAACTGTTGCAAATCTTACCTCTACGAGTGCATACATCTTTAAACTTTATAGACTCCCATAGAGTTGGGGGTGAGGAGGGAGGGGAACACCATATGAGGTTCATCACTGACAGGAGGCTAGGACATCTTTTGTCACCTCTCCCTACCCTCTGTCACTTTTTTACTAGGTTCCCTTATCTGCATGTGCAACTTAGAATTGCTTTAATAGTTTTTTGCCCCTTCGGCCTCTCATTCACCTGCTCTTCTTTATGACCTTCCACAGCCTGTTGAGGGCATTCATTTTGTCCTGCTTCATCTCTTGGGATCATAGTCCCTTTGAGTCACTGAGTACCTTCCTCTCTTTAAATCGTGATATAAGTTTAGCTGCTTTCTTTTTAGACTATGACAGATTATTTCTTTAAAGTATGGAGATGCAGTTTCTTGTAAGAATGACATATAAAAATACTTTTTTCTTACCTCCCGTACATGTTTTGGTGAAACTTTAGGCTGGCACTCACAGAATGTGTGTCTGTGTACTGATGTCTGGGGTGGAAGTTCATGTTAGTAATATGGATTGTAGCTCTGCCTCCATACCAACCAAAAGAAGTGTCACTGGGGTCAGGGCTGGCAAGGTGATGCTTTCTGCAAGGCATGAAAATAGGAACCTCTGTGTGGTGTTTTCTAATGCACCTGTGTGACAAGAGTGCCACTTTTGGAGCCTCTCCAGGTATGGGTCTGCCCTCTTGTAATGGGCCCAACTGCCTGCTTGCTTGCTTGCTATGCCTTGATCTCATGTGATTAATAGATTGCTGTAATTAGCAGGAGGCTGCCCATTTATATGCACCCCGATGACAGGGGACACTATCTGCAGCTCCTTTTCCTCCCCTGCATCGCAGCCCAAGCCTCGCAGATGGTGCTGGTCTGATCTAGGGGCTTCTCGCTGCCCCCTTCCTCACTCTCGGGGCTCCTCACCACCCCTTCTCACTTCCCAGGGCTCGCTGCCCCCTAGCTCTGGGGGTTTCTGCTGCCCCCCAGCTCCGGGGCTGGGCCAATGTGCCCCCAAACAAAGCTGCGCCCTCTCCGGCGCCAGGAGACCCCACGGTATCGCGGAGTTCCTATGAGGCCGCCTCCACCCCTAATAGCCTCACCCAGTCCTCCGGTTAAACAGTGAACACAAAACACAAAGCCCCCGGGCTATAACATAAAACTAAACCATCCAGTACAACAGTTAATCCCTACCGGGCAAAATACTCCAGCAGCAACCTGCAGATACTCATGCAGCCAAACCTTGGCCTTCTCCCTGCACTGGCTGAGCTCCTCACTCCTTGGCTGCCAGAGGAGGAACTGCCACCCTGGCCTCCTGCCTGGGTTTAAGAAGGGCTAAGCCCTGCCCCTTCCTGTCAGGGGTTTCACTGGTTGCCCCAGCAACCAGCACCTGTGCTGCCCTGGTGACTGGCAGCTGCGCCTCCCCCTTCTCACCGCTAGGGGCCTCTCTTGAGCCGCCCCGTTCTCAGGCGCAGGGCACCTAAATGCTCTGCACTAACCTGCTAAGGGTTGGGCTCAGGATCTATCTGTTTCATACCTTTTGGCATCCTTGTTTTTTTGATACCTGTTCATGACATCCCTCTTCCACCTCTAATATCTTTAAGATGTGCTGTCTTGATTTTTTTCTCTTTCAGTCTCGCAAATCTCATTGGAATGCCCTTCTGCTCCTTTTAATTGATGTAATCTAAGAACATCCCTTGCTAGGAAGGTGGCCTGTTCCTCTACCTCCCTAGATGACTTGTCACTATATCATCGGTAGGATGAGTATCCCAGGCTTCCAGCATAATGACAGACTGACAAAACATGTTAATTTGCAGTGACTCTCCCAGTCATCCATGTGAATTTCAGAGGCTCATTTTCATTTTATGCTATATATTTAATAAATTACAGTTCAGACTGCTGAAATTAGTCAAGTTATACTGATGTAAATCTTGTGGGGAAAAGGCAGTGGAGAATCAGGCTGGTTGACTTTTGGGTTTTCAAAAAAATTTCAGTTAAAATACTTAGAGTTGATCCAGAAACTGTTATGAGTGTATTGTTTATATATAAACTTTTTCATTGGTTTTGTAACTAATTTTACTGAGGCTAATCCTGCTGTATGTGCCTGTCTTGTTTTTTAGGTGAAAGGACTTGTGAAGCAGCATATAGACTCGTTCAACTACTTCATCAATGTAGAGGTATGCTTTCTTGGAGGAAAGGGAGAAGACATGAATATACAAAACTGTGATGAACTTAATTCCTTTTTCCTTTTTTCTTTCAGATAAAGAAAATCATGAAAGCCAATGAGAAAGTTATAAGTGATGCTGACCCCATGTGGTACTTAAAGTAAGTACGAGGCTGCCTTTTGTATTGCTTGCAGTGCAGGTGTCCTACATAATAAAAATAAACTGAGATGCTCTAACATGGCCTATTTGGTTTAGAAAAGGGCAACACTATACTTCCTGAATTACCTGATTTAAACAAAATGGTTAATCGTGGTAAAAATACTTTCTGTAATGGGGCTTTTCTGTAGTTTAGTGAATTCTTGTGATTAAGAGGCAAGTAGTGCAGAAGTAAAAATTTGTTTTCATTTTTGTACGCATGTCCCAAGTTTTTTATCGCTGCATATAAAACATAGTCTAAGTGCTTGGAAGAAAGGTGCTCTAGCTGACTGAACAATCTCTGGTCATCGTTCTGCTCTCCTCAGTTTCACCAAGCAAATTTCTTGACGATTGATCCTAATACTGTTTGTATTGCAGGTATCTCAATATCTATGTGGGTACCCCAGATGTTGAAGAAAGCTTTAATGTAACACGGCCTGTTTCTCCTCATGAGGTAATAGAGAATCCAGGTGGGGGATTTTATTTCATATGCACACATGGAAATGTGTAGGTAGTTGTTGCACATGGGCACACAGGTAGCTTCCCCCCCCAGTTTTTCTTTGCTTTCAGGAGAGGATCTTTTAATAATCAGGTATATTACCTGGGAGGTTTGGCAGAGAGTAGGCAATGGTAGTTATGAAATTACTAGAAACCTGAATAATTCATATACTTTTTTTTTTTTTAAACTGTTTTTTGATTCATAGCTTCACAGACCACTTATTATATGTATTCATATTATGAACAAAAACCTACATTTTTGAGGACTTCAAGGTTGCAAGAACAAGCTGTTATAACTTAGGAATTGCTAGAATTATATTTTGCTCATGAAATGTTTAATTCACTCCTCTAATACACTAAGCTAGCCTTGTTTAGCATCACAGAGGGAAGCCATAGGCAAAGCTGGGAAGAAAACTCAGCACTCAAGAGTTCCAGTCTCTAGTGCCTTAATCACAAGAGACTATCCTTAATGTTTTTTAAATGTCTTTTATGTGCCAATTCTTAGAACAGTGGCACCCAACCTTCTGGCTCCATGGGCCAGATGAATGTTGTGAATTCAGTCTGCAAGCCAGGTTCTGGATGCTGGCTCAGATCCAGCCATGCAAGGCTACATTATCTGGCCTTTGGGGCTCCACTTGGGTCCAGAAATGTGGTGGCAGCAATTACCACTGTCACTGCTCCCCAGCCACCAAATTTCCAGACCTCTGGGTTGCCCCACTGACCAGATGACATGGCTGCATAGACTGAATCTGGCCTGCAGGTGGAGGGGCAGGTGTTGTTTGGTTTTTTTTTTTTTTTTGAGATTTTCAACCGTGGTGCACAACACCCCCACCCCAAGAATTATTTATTTTAGCTGCGATGTGTACAAAATTGTTCATACCAGCTAGTCAGAGATGAGACTCTGTATTTTGTTGGTTGCCAGACCAAAATGCATTCTTGTAGATCAAAGTGGCTATGGCAGTTTTTCTAGAGCTTGAGTTTGTTGAGAGTGGAGAAGCATGATCTGTATAGACAGAAGGTTCAGTGACTTAAGTGGCAGGTTTCTCCAGTTGTAACTCGGTACATGCAAATGGCTGTTTTCAGAGCTTTTGGATGAGTTTTGTAAAAGGCATCCTTCTCATCCTGAGAACTGTCCTTCTTCTAGAGTTCAGATTTGTATTCCATAATATGAAGATGCTATTCAGAGAAAAGGTAGACTTTAATAATAGCAAAGTGAAATAATTCTTCCCTTATCTGTCTTAGAACAGTATCTGAACTCTGAATCTAAACCCTGGTATCTTGACTGCCTACACATACTGCTTATCTACCTGCTTATTCATTTAGCATTCTATCACGGTTCATTTTCTTCTTGTGTCATTTCCTCTGTTGGAGCACATGTATGATGTTCCATTATTGACCTTTTAAATACCACTTTTGAGATTTCCTGTGTACTCCCACAAAAGAACCATTTAATGGCTAAATCTCTGTATTTAAATCAATAGAGACTATCCTGTATCATTTATTGTTTTTTGAAGAGCCTGATACAAATCCTGTGTTGAAAGCCCCTAACTAAGTCGGGTAACCAAAGCAGCAGCAAGTTATAATTGGAGGCAAAATATTACAGTTTAGGACATGGACTATAGTTTCATAGTTGGTGAGGTTGGAAGGGACCTAAGT